CTTCAGTCTTATTATACAGTCCTGTTTCTGAGGTTTGGGAAGACAAAATACTAGTAAGTACAGATTAGATATGCTAGTGGGTAGGGGCTTTCGATAAGATACTTTAGGACTATTTTACATGTGTATGCATATGGAATTGCACTCCTATTTGCAATTAGAGAAACCGTTTTTGTGGCCTATGTTCTCCCATGAGGACAAATATCCTTTTGAGGCAGAAAGCAGACCCAGAAAAAAGCAAGCAAGTGTCCCCACAGCACCCATTTATATAGGAAGCAGGCCACACCCCTGAGGAACCTTCCTTTCCATTACATCAGGACTGTGACCTGAGTAAGGTGGTTGCACTCCATCCTAATCTTCTTACAACTGATTGGTTGCTCCCAGCAGACCCAATTATGGAGTTGATTACATTGTGTCATGTGAGATACCATCATGTGAGATCACTATGTCTTAACCCCCAAACCACTGAGAATCCTGACCCAACCATGTTGATACGAAAATTCAACTGAGATTTAAAAGTCAATTAAGATCCCTTAGATTGTAAGGAAGAAAGGCGGGCTTTCAACTCCAGTGAAGATTAAGTCTCTGAAACCCACAGGAGCAGTTCTACCCTGTCCTATGGGTGGGCATCAACTCAATGGCAATGGGAAATTGTGCAGCGTGTACTAGTCAATGTTTCCATTCCTTAAAGGAATAATATTGCAGGAAAACTACAAACCAAGTAGAAGAACTGCACTAAATTCCTATCATCATCCTTTCCCCTTTCCTTCAAGACAGCAAAAGTTACTCAGTGAACCATAGTTAATCTTTTAAGAACAGAGTTGTCAGAACAATGTGGGGGGCAGGATGAGGAATAATGCCACTAGGTGCCCAGAACACTCCCTGATTGTCAAAGAGACCGTCTACCATAGACATCCAAAGACTCAGAACACCCTTAAGGGTACAAAGCTTCCTTTCTTGTGCCCAGAATGTTTTCTTTCCTTCTTTAAATTTTCCTTCATTTTTGTGTAGCTGAGAATGTACACAGGAGAACATACACCAATTTAACAATTTCTATGTGGCCCTTTGACCATCTCTCAATGGGAAAGTAAAGCACAGGGGAAGGCCCTCCTCGAGACGGATTGACCCAGGGCTGCAGCAGTGGGTCAAGCACAGGAACAACTGTGAGGACAGTGCAAGACCAAGCAGCCTTTTGTTCTGTGGTGCACAGGGTTGCTATGGGTGGGAGCCTACTCAATGGCACCTAAGGACAGCACAACATATGTACAATTTAGTGACATGGATACATTCTTTTCTGAATTGTTTCTCTCATTAACATAAACGCATGACCTCGTAAGGTTCCTGTCTAATCTTTCTAGTTACTGCTGTCAATTTAGTCCCATATAAGCAGCTCTTAAAAGAGTACTTGCTCAAGGCAGATTTATTTTTCATACTAGTCAAAGTATTTTTTGTTGTTTCAAAAAGCCAGGGAGCCATAGCCATAGATAGATAGATAGATAGATAGATAGATAGATAGATAGATAGATAGATATAGATATACATAATATCTATATATTTAAAGATCATTTTATTGGGGGCTCTTACAGCTCTTATAACATTCTATACATCAATTGTATCAAGCATATTTGTACATAGGTTGCCATCATCATTTTCTAAACACTTACTTTCTATTTGAGCCCTTGGAATCAGGTCCTCTTTTTTCCCTCCCCCTCCCACCCTCGTGACCCCTTGATAAATTATAAATTATTATTATTATTTTTCATGTCACACCAACCGCTGTCTCCCTTCACCCACGTTTCTGTTGTTCGTTCGCCTGGGGAAGGGGGCTTGTTATGCATCGATCATTTTGATAGGTTCCTCCTTCCTCCCTTTATACCCCACCTTCCCCCTCCTCCTGCTATCATTATTCCCATATCTGTTCCTGAGGGGCTTATCTGACCTGCATTTCGTGTGTTATGGGCTCTTATCTGAACCAGTGTACATGCTTTGGTCTAGCCAGAACTGAAAGGCAGGACTGGGGTCATGATAGAGGAGGGTGAGGAAGCCTCAAAGAACCAGAGGAATATTGTGTTTCATGGGTGCTATACTTTGCACTGGTTGACTCATCCCTTCCTTGTGACCTTTCTGTGAGGGGATGTCCTATTGTCTACAGATGGGTTTGGGGTCTCTGCTCCAACCCACCTCATTCTCAACAATGGTTTTTTTTTGGGGGGGGTGTCTTCTGATGCCTGTTACCTGATCCCCTCAATAACTCATGATGGCACAGGCTGGTGTGCTTCTTCTATGTGGGCTTGGTTGCTTCTGAGCTAGATGGCTGCTTGTTTAACTTCAAGCCTTTAAAACCCCAGATGCTTTATCTTTTGATAGCCGGGCACCATCAGCTTTCTTCACCACATTTGCTTATGCACTTCAGGGATATTTTTAATTTAAGGTTTAAAGATTTTCTCAGGGCAAAAGTTTCAGAGGTTCCAACCTCCCTAGCTCCAGAATACCTACAATGTGATCTTGTTAAGACTGACAGGTAAAAATGGATTCCTAATCTGCATCAAGGAGCCTGTTGGGCTGCAAAATACCAGGTCAGTAGTTTGAAACCACCAGCCTGCTTCTCCCGAGAAAGATGGAACTGTGTGGTGCCATAAGGATTTACAGCCTCAGAGACAGTTCTAGTTAGTCCTAAAGCAGCGGTTATCAACCTGTGGGTTGCGACCCTTTTGGGGGTCAACCGACCCTTTCACAGGGGTCACCCAAGACCATCAGAAAACACATATTTCCAATGGTCTTAGGAACTGAGACACCGCTCCTCTATCTGTCTCCAGGCGGGTCCACCCACATGCAGATACGCCCACATGCGAGTACCCGGAGGGATGACTGTTACCCATGCTACACCATGCTTCAAGACAAAATTTCATTTATTTGTCATTAGAAATAAATATTTTGCAATATATCATTACATATTGTTTTGGTGATTATTCACTATGCTTTAATTATGTTCAATTTGTAACAATGAAAGTACATCCTGCATATCAGATATTTACATTAAGATTCATAACAGTAGCAAAATGACAGTGATGAAGTAGCAACG